GCTGCTCTCCAGCAAGTCCACCCCAAGCCTGTACTGCTGCATGGGGTTGTTCCTCCCCAGGTGCAGGACCCTGCATTTGCCTTTGTTGAACCTCATCAGGTTCCTCTCTGCCCAACTTTCCAGCCTATCCAGGTCACGCTGAATGGCGGCACAGCCTGCTGGTGTATCTACCACTCCTCCCAGTTTTGTGTCATCAGCAAACTTGCTGAGGGTATGTTCTAACTCTTCATCCAGGTCATTGATGAAGAAGTTAAACAAGGCTGGGCCCAGTACTGACCCCTGAGGGACAAATTGCTGGAAGATGAAAGTAGACTAAATCAAGCTTAAAATAAAACATACCTTTACCTGGGAGAGTAGTTAACCGTTTGAACAGCTTACCATGGTTCATGTGGATTCTTCGTCACTTGTTTTTTTGAGACTACGCGTGTTACTGAAACATGTCAAGTAGTTAAATTAGGAACTAGTATAGGAATGTCCCATGCCATGTATCATATGGAAGACCAGATCAGAAGATTACAGGGATCATCTTGCTCTCCTGTTAGGAACCCATGGGATACAGTTTAGTTTAGCTCCTCTTCTATAAGGCTAGAGGCTGGTTAGTGACCCTTGTCTCTGGTGTCTGTCTCCTTTCTTTTGGCTGGTGCAGGGGAGTTTAATACGGCTTATCTTCAGGAGGTTTTGTCCTTTTACGTATAATACACACGCAGGACTTCCTGTGAATCTCTGTCTGCCCTATTCCTGCTTTGAACCTTTTTTCAAAGTGGAGTAAATTCAAGGGTGGTGTTAGAGAATGTTTGCATTCTGCTTAGGGAAAAAAGGATGTGCGTGATAGAGTAGCTGTATCCAAGAAGGCTGATCGTACGATCTCCAACATCCCTTTAGACAGGTGATCAGATTGTACACGTCAGAGGCTTAGAGACGTGCAAATGTGTCCCTTTGTTCATTTGAGTTAGCTCTCACTGCGTAGAACCGTGAGGAGAAATGAAGATCCTGATTGGCTAGCCTCATCTTGAAAGAACATTCATGCCTCTAGCAGATGTTACATCGTGAACATTTTTGGTTCAATTATTACTTGAACTTGTAAACCTGAGGGTCAAAAATAACCGTTCAGGTATTTCTGCTGACCCCTTATGACTGTATTGCTATTCTCATTCCAGTTCATATTCTTCTAAGGTTTCCAAGTTACTCCTTTTATTAGGAACTGGCTGGGAAGCTTGCATACCCCCTTACTCGGTGATTATCACGTTAGTCTCTCACCCTCATGAAGATCTGTGTGTGTTTCTGCCTCAGTGACAACTTTTCCTTCATTTCTCCTGATTCTGTACAAAGTGCATTAACTTTGATGAAGTTCCAAAATGCACAAATGGCCAAGTGGATGGCACGACCATTTCGGTACATAGGACAGATCTTTCAATGTGTTTGTCTCGTGTGGGATTGTGTGTGCGTGTTTGATCTCTTGGTCAGGTGCATCAGTCTGTGTGGCAGGAGGCTGCTATACTTTGGACGACATGGCAGAGAGGTTTCACGGTGGAAGGCGAGAACTGGGAGGACCTTGCCTCTCAGGAGTGCCCCCCTGCAGCCCACACCACCTTCCATGCCCAGCATGTTCCGCTGACAGATTGAAATCAGGCAGGAGAGGGCTGCAGCACTTCGCTGCAACTGCATTGTGGTGGGTGTGAGGCAAGGGAGCAGAGGTAGGGCTGAGGAGTCTCAGGCAGTCTGAACGCAGCAGAGGTTGTAGAAAAAATTGCTTGGAGGTCTAGAATTTTAAGGTGTTTGGATAACCCAGACGCGGAAAACAGTTAGTGCCTCTTTCTCAGGGCCTTTTTTCCTCTGAAATGAGATGAAGCCTGGAGCTTAGACGTCAGGCTTTTAGGACCTGAAGTCTTATTGACATTGATGAGACTTAGACTCCCGAGTATGTTTGTAAATCCAGGCGCCCTCTGAAAATTCCATTGTATGACTGCCTGATCATCAGCATCCACATGCTCTGAAAAATACATCTCTTGATGGCTAAAGTTCCTGAAGTCCTGAGGCCTTTGCAAGTCCATCAGCTGCTCAGTGCTTACAACCTTTTCGGTGTCCCATACCTTCATAGGGACTAGCAAAAGTTCTTCCCCATTGGGACTTTTTTCTTGGTTAAAATTTTATGCTAAGTATATAACCACTGAGTTGTCATATTTTTGAGAAACCCAACATAGAATAGACTAGTGCTCCGTTAGTAGGCTTCTGTTATGGAAGTCAAGACTACTGAACAGTTTAGTAAGCCTATTTTATTAGTATAGACTGAAAAATTCCCAGTATTAGTCATCACAGAATCCTAGAATTTACTCTGATTTTGCAAAAGCTTGAAGTAAAAACAACAAAAGCCTGCTTATAAATATATACTGCCATGGGTTAGTAAAAAACTCAAGCCACACAACAGCAGCAACAAACTCCAAGCCGTGAGCCTTTTACAATAACGCATTTTTCCAAGGAAAAAAGTATTCCTGGCTTCCACTGAGGTGTTTCAGAATCATCTGTCAGGGCTTCAGTTCCTCCGGCTACCTCTTTGCCTTTGTCCTAGCAATATGCCTATGCCTGATCTTAACATTTTGGCTGAACTATCAGACCCAAGTACAGTCTTTTATAAGTGATGGAGTTCGGTCTTTGCATGGTGAGATTTGTTGATGCAACAAAAATTCCATTCACTTGTAAAGTAGCTCAGTGTAAACATCTATTGTGTGTGTGCCTGTTTTGTTTACTAAAATTTGTCGCTAAATCTTTAAGCCTAAAACTGTACATATTTTGAAACATTCTGTTGTATGGAATCTTATATTTAACAGTTGCATGGGGTTGTTTCTTTGGAAGGAAAAGTGTTTCTCAAGAGCCTTTTTTTCTGTCCGCTCCCAGTGAAAAGAGGAGAGCAAAGCCATCCGCTTACCACAAAGCAGTGCCACCACAAAGGAAAGATTAAGGGTTTAGAGAGAGGTCAATGTGGGTTTTTCTCTAACTAAACACTTTCCTAAAGTTTCCTTGTGGAAAAAATAATGAAGTCATCTCGGAGTTTTTAAAGAATTTTTATTTCTTTTTCACCGTCTGCATTCGCTTGTCTTCTCAGCATGGATGTTTAATCTTTCTAGGCTTTGTGAATTGGTCCAAATGAATAAGTGGTGAGCTCTCTCTCTAGGAGCTAGAGGCTTATTCTAAGGCCCTAATCACTGAGTAAACACATCTTTGCCCTCCCTCTCTTACAACTGCTATATAATAGTTGAGATTCTAGCACAGTAACCTGGATATTGCAGGGATCGACGCTTTGAAATGCAGAATGGCTGATCCTCAAAAACAGACAGTGCCTGATCTTCCCCTGCCTCTTTCTTCTTTTTAAATTAAATATCACCACAGAAATGCTGTTTTATTGCCTGATATTGTGCATCAGTGCCCTGGATTTTCAAGTTTAGTTTCAGTCAACATTGTTGGCTGCACTTATATGGATCTCTGCATGTTGGCCTTATTAATGGCCCTTCCTGGCACATGTGTATGTGGTTCTGAAGAACATTTAAATTAAATTAGACAAACATCAATGCAAATTACTAATCCCTTTCCCAAAGTCTAATGTTCAAATGTATTCTTCTTTTTATAAACAGTCATTAAGTTTTGTCCAAAGCCAACATATGAGGTGACAGTCGTACAGGTTTTTTACAGAGACAGCTTGTCTCCAAATTCCATCCCGTGTCTTGCTATATCAATAAACATCAGTATCTAGTGTTCAGTGTTGCTTCTCATGAAAAGATTTGAAATTACTTTAAGTAAAAGTCTGAAAACAGAATTTACCATATAGTCTCAGCAAATATGTTCAAGTAGGATTTTAAAATAAAGTAAGTAATATGTATGGGTATGGGGTAATGGAAAGTGGTAATTTTCTGAATGGTATTTAAAATTCATTAAATACCAGATATGGAAGCATGGTCCTTAACTAGCTTATAGTTTCTCTATGTTTTTTTCAGTCTGCTTTCTGTCTTTACGTACACATAGACTCACTTTCCAAAAGGTGGTCTGAGATTCTCATGGGGACATAGCACAGCTCTGCTGCTGGCAGTGAAGATCAAATATTACTCAATAGGGTTTCGGAAGAACACGGCACAGAATATGTTGTTTCAAGAGGCCGCAAACACCATCCCCAACATCCAGTCTTTGCTAAATTTGTAGCTACAAGGAGATATATCAGTGCTCGCAAACTCAGTGTGCGACTTGATCCGTGTCTCCCATACCCCTTCCCTTGCGTCTTACATGCTCACAGTGCTGGGGCGGCCACCCTGCTCCTCAGCTCCATGAGAGATGTAGCCAGCGGGGCTGATGCGTGGCCTTTTGGCCAGCTACTCGTCGGCTTATGAAGTAGGTGAGAGGCTGGTGTGCTGTGGACCTCCTCACATCGTACAACTGGATGGAGAGCTGCCAAACATCCAGCACGTAGTGTCACAGGCTTTGGGACTGTAGGCAGCTGTGGTGTTACTCATTTTCCTCTTTATTTGGCTACAAATGGGGTGATAACACTACACTGTCATTTTTTTAGGTTGTTTGTAATTGTATTTGTTTAGGATCATAGATACTGTTGTATCAAGAGGGCTGTTCGTTGCTCAGGTAATTGTTCCAAATATTATCTTTATTGGGCAGCAAACCAAAAAAGTTCACTCGTTTTTTAAGCTAAGTCTGTTAATAAGATTTTTTATTTTGCCTTCAAATATTGATATTTTCATGTTCTAAGAGTATAATGTATTGTGTTTTGGTACCCAGAATGAAATATTAGGAAGCATTGATAAGACTTACTGATTTGGAGGGGTCAACCATTTGACTTGAAATCTAGTGGATTTTTTTTTTCCCTGTGTGTGCACATTCAGATACTCTGCACCCTCGATAAACACCATAGGGTGTACTAACGCACAAATCTGCAGCAGTAATTTTAAATTACTAAGTAGCCTGAGGAAGTTTTCCCTGATCGATCTTTTCTCGTGTCTTTTCAGAGAAAGCTTCTTGCTATCTACCTCCACCATGATGAAAGTGTACTAACCAACGTCTTCTGCTCCCAAATGCTCTGTGCTGAATCTATTGTCTCCTACCTGAGTCAGAACTTCATCACCTGGGCATGGGACATGACAAAAGAAGCAAACAGAGCAAGGTAAGTCGCCTTGGACTGTGAGTGGAACAGCTTTTCTCTCGGGGAAGACCCTTATCTCTGTCTATCAAATCTTTTGTTGCTTGATACCTGTTTGAACTAAAAACTTTGTGCTCGTTCTCAGCTGATCAATGAAGCAGTGCTGGCTGATGTTCACTGGGAATTGTGCTGTCCTTGTTTTCATTACAAAATGACTTCTTATTTCTGGGCAGGAAAAAACAGTTGAAGAAATTGTTTGCTTTTTTTTTGAAGTTTATTTTGCAAAAATAGTTCTAGGAGCATGTCTTCACAGTTTTGCATTGCAGTGCCATGATATTATGTGACACTGATTGTATGTACAGAGGTGTGACTGCATGAGAACGGTCTGGGAGAATAACTGCTGTTGTTAATGAAAATCTTATTTAAAAAATAACTTTAATGTAATCAATTTATATTAAAGCCAGATTACGCAAAAAATTAGAAGCTTGCAATTCATATGGACTTTTTTGAATGACGAGTTGCTTACAAAACATTCCTTTTGGTAATGTTCAGATATTTTGATAAGCTTTAATATAGTAAAAGCTATCCTGTGTCTTAGAGAGGCCATCATTTTGCTGGTGAGGCCATCATTTTGCTGGTGATTAAAGAAAGTAAAAAACTGTAGATTCCACCTCCTTCTACATCTTTTGTGTGTTACCAACAAATTTTCTTACCTTTATATTAAGACCCCTCTCTCTCCTTTAGTTTTTTGCCAATTGCTCATAATCTATTGATAACAATGATTTTATGATTCTACTTACCATATTTAGAAATCAAACTTGTTTGGTTTTCTAACTTGGACCTTTTTTCATCACCTTCATTTACACAGAAGACGACTGCTTGCCAGGATAATGTCTTGCGTATATAATGACAGTTATTCTAACTTTTAAACAAAAGATGCAAGTCATTTGGTCTGGGATAAGGTTGCCCCTTTTTTACACAATTCCATCGGTTATTGATCAATTAGAAGTACATGTTTATGTTTCCTTCCCTTTTGGATTGCTAGAAATTTGGTATCTTTATAAAGGATCCATGCGTTCCTGTTCTTAAATACGTAAATTATAGTTAATATTTCTTTACTGAAAATGGGCACGGAGAACAGAACAATCTCTTTTTCTAATACGCTTTATAAATGACACTTGTGTTTCACAGAAATTCCTCACTTGACCTGCTGCAGTTCGTCTTTGGACGAATCAGCAGCTGTGTTCCTAGTTTAAATTTATTCTGGTGAAGAGTTAAAGATTATGGAAAAAAGCAGTTACAAAAACAGATAAAAAAGTTTTTAGAAAAAAGAGAGAGGAAAAAGAAACATCTAGGTTCTTTCATGGGGACCAAATACATAGACTGGAAAGTTGCTCGAGTCTTTTGGCATTGCCATTCATGGGCAGTAAGGAGCCTCCTCCTTTTCTTTTATTCCACAAGTTGGTGTAGAAGGAAACACTATTTCTAAACCATCTGTAGTGGCGAAGTTCAGTTGACTACCTGCTGTTCTATTGTTCGCTTTTCTATTTAATTCTCTGGTTTCTTTTATTTTACAATGACAAAAAATTGCAGTGTAGTTTCTTTTGAAAAACCGTGTTTGAGGGTTTTTTTATGACCGACGATCAACAGCCATGTAATTGCTTTGTTGTGTTTTACTAAAGAAATCTATTAAGTAGCACAACTTTGATACACTAGTAATAAGAGTTTGCAGGTTACAGAGACACCTGTGGTGACCAAAGCGACAGAAGCTGCTTATTAGAAAGAGCCTGTACAGCTGTGTCCTATTAACTCCTTATGACACTTCTTAAAACACAAAATAAAGGGCTTGTTTAAGGCTTTATAGCTGTTCTCAATGAGCCCCGTCACCGATTGTGCAGTACGACAGGGTTTTTAAGCCTACATTTTTTGCTTTCTGTTACAACAACAAAGAAACTGTCATATTAACAGTGAGGTCAAAAAATAGTCAGGGGTAAACAAGGCATGCCGGCTCGAATTAGAATAATTTCTCGGTTGTGTTTAGTGTCACATCCTGCTCCTTAGACTGTGATCTCTTTGGAGGGGCCATGGTGCTTCCTTCTCCATTTGGAAAGTGCCAATGCACTGTAGGCATTCCCGTAAATAAATACACAGCACCTCTGTTTAATTGTTTTCCTTCCTTGTGGAACACAACGACAGCGGTCTTGGAGCCTATTCTTTTCTGTATCCCCACAAATACAGTTGCACATAGCTCTTTATTTGAATGGTGAGAAGACAACGGCAAGAACAAGAGAAGGAACTGCTTTTTGCGTGCTGGTGTAGCCCAAAAGCAATTTATATGTGCTGTTACAATTGCATTAGTGGAAAAGCCAGGGTGGGAAGGCAGAAGAACCAGGCCCACTTTATTTACAGCCATCAGTATGGATGCCTCAGTGTTGGTAGTAAAAGACGAGTACTGTAGCACAGCATGAATGATTTCAAACAGATTTACATACTTTCTCATATAAGCCAAAAAATTTTGATTATTCTGATTTTTCTCTTGCTCTTTGCTGTCCTCTTTCTTACATCTGTGGATGTCGATCTGTTCCAAAAACAGTCTTAGTAGTAGTTTCCATCCTTCTCATTAGTGAAATGGTGGTCCCTCCTAAATACTGTAGAACAAAACCAGCTCCAAAATCTTGTCATTTTTCCTATTTTTAATATGTTTCTTGGCTGACCCTGATGTAGGGATGTGCTTTGAATCCTGCATTACTGTACACTAGCACTTTTCAGCTGGATTCTCTCAGTCTTGTCCTTCAACATCCATTGCAACAGAGTGAAGAGAGTTCTGTAAGTAGAAGTAAAATGCTGTGTGCAAGCGCCAGGGTAAGTGTTAGCAGTAGTGCAAGAGCATAAGCATCACAACTTTGGGAGTCAGATATTTAAGAATTTCTAACTACAGCCACCCAGGACTGTTACTTTGTCAAACTGAAGGAGAACTCTAGTTAATGCAGTTAGGAGGATGTTTTGTTTTGGCTTCCACAGCTTTTAATTACCTCTGACATGAGGTTTGCAGGAAAGGGAGCAATTACTTTGGGTAAGTGCTGCAAATTATGAATCTTTTCATTACTAGAATAAAAAGAAATCATAATAGAAGGCACAAAAGGCTATAACAAAATAAATAGCTTTCATTTAGGAAAATAACATGGTGCTTTTGTAATACGGTTAAGGAATCTACTTGAAAGCTTTATCTCCTATAGTTTAGACTTCAGTTTAGTGAGCAGCTGTTTGGAATATTCTTGTAACTTACGTTGTCCATGGTCAAAGGAGCAAAAAACCCACAAAGTGACAGGTATATCTTTTACTTCCTTATTTTATTCCATTCGATTTGGGGTGAATCATAAGCTTAAAAAATCAGTTTTCCTTCCACAGCTTGCTGTGGAGATTTGCCACCAAGCCACTCCAAACAGCAGCAGTGCGCTTGCGGGAGGTGTCAGGGCAGTAGTGGTGGTGGTGATTGACAGCAGTGGTGCTGACAGTTCTGGTCCCAGCACGCGGCTGCAGCAGCTCACCAGCTGCGTAGGGCCATCGCGTGGGCTAAGTGATCCCTCAGGTTTCTGGAGAGGTTATGGGGTGGAGAAGCAGGAGAGCCAGCTGCAGTTTTGTCATTTTCTGACTTCAGAGAGTTGACTGAATACTATTATTCTAATACAGTTATGTGCGTGTGTATGGGAGGTGTATATATATATATGTGAATATATATGTATATGAGCACCTGCCTAACTGAACTTGTCAATACATTAATATAATATATTCGTATCCAGGATGGATATATAGTGAATATATATACATACATATATACCTGCAAATGCACACATACCCTTATGTTTGTACACATAGCATTTACAAACTTAGATTATGCATAACATTAACAGATTTCCAATGTGCATAGTGTTTGCCAAGCAAAGCAATGCCAAAACCATAAACCAGTGACTCGAATGTCTGTAGCAGTGTTTTAGCTTTTGGTATCTTGTTGCCCTTGGGCGCTGTATTTCAGGATGCTGCCAATTTTTCTCAGCTCTGATGACAGGTACTTGTTAGTTTTAATGTTCAAATGATAGTTTTTCACTTTGCTGTAAGAAAAGAATTAATTGACTAAAGCGCTTCTCAGCAGCAGGTTGTCTTCACCTGCAATTTCCATCTTCAAGTAATTAGCCATATTCACAGTTGCTGACCCTTAATACTAACCTACTGAATGATGCATGCCTGGATGAAGACCAGTTGACCATATTACTCCAGCTCCCCAATCCTATTTGATCTTTCAGCAAATATACTGCAGGTGTGGGGTCTGTGAGAGCTGGACTCAGGGAATTAGTTTCTTGCTGCCTCTTCAGGAGTAGCCATAGATTCTGTATATGTTGCTTGCAAAACTGTTGGATGTGTTCTTTGGGCTCTAAATCCTTAACAGGTTTCACAGAATGGTGTGAAAACCTTATCTATTGTATTTTGCAATATTTTACTTAATTTACTTTAATAGCAATACAGTGCCAGTCAATAAAAACAGGTCAAAAGTCTAATGAGTGTTTTAAAAATAAAGGTTCTCAAACACCAGGCGATTTTGTCATTTTCTGTATGGTTTGTTTTGAGGAGGAAGAGGAAAGAAGGTGAGGAGGGAACCCTTCTGTTCCATGATTACATCCCACCCGCTCATTTTCTCCTTTTCTCCTTTGCTTTTGATTTTAGTGGCTGGGGTTTCTTCTGTTCCATGATTACATCCCACCCGCTCATTTTCTCCTTTTCTCCTTTGCTTTTGATTTTAGTGGCGGTCTTAACAGAATGTCAAGATCAATTTGCAGCATGGTTTAACTCAAGGTTTGCATTCTGCCAGCAGCAATTGTCCTAACGAACAATGCCGTGTGTTCTTGTAACTTCAGAAGCTTTTAGAAGGCTCATGGCAAGGGCAGCATCTAATGACTTTATTAGTGTAGGGTTTCAAAATGGGCTCAGTAATTGTTCGCATCTCTTTGTCATCTAGTCATAATTACTGC